CATTTTTATCCAGAAAAGGTTTACTCTATCTAGCAGAGTAAACCTTTCCCTGCTATCTGTGTGGTTTTTTTTTTACACTGGTGATCACTGTAGACCCCTCTTACATTGGTGATCAATAGGTTAATGCCCTCTTTCATTGGAAATATATATGGAAATATCCCAGTCTTTGCCTTTTTGGGAGGGCTATTTGCATAGTTTCCCAGTAAGCATTGCCTGAAATCTTTGTGCTTGGCACTCAGACCCCATTCACACTGAGCTACATCCAAAAAATTCAGCGATTTTGAGTTGAGCGACATTGAGCTACAGTGCACATTTTGTCGGGCTACGTAGTGCGACTTTTCGCAGGGACTTCGTAGCTGCTACATTGGGCTGTAACCAATCAAAAGTCTTGATGTGACATCATTCCTTACTTCTTATATTTCTGTGCCAAAGTGACACTTCTGTAGCACGACGTAGTGCGATGTTGCTCAATATTGAGCTACACCATTAATTTCTATTAGGCCAAATCGCACAAAATCCGCTGAAAAATAGGTCATGTTCGAGCTATAAGCTTGAGCGGCGAGCTACAGGCGACATTGAGCTGTGAGATGTGAACAGCTCCATTGAAATGCATTGGGCAAGCTACATAGAGCTCATATTTCAGCGATTTCGGAGCTGAAATCGCGCGATAAATCGCTCAGTGTGAACAGGGTCTTAGGCCCCATTCACATTGAGCGGATTGCTGTGCGAATTTTCGCTGCAATATCGCTCATTTTTGTTTGCGCGATATCGCAAGAAGTTGCAGGCCAATGATTTTCAATGGAGCTGTCTTCATGTACAGCTCCCTGTCGCCCGTTGCTCGTCGCGGTCGCATGTCGCTTCTACAGGACTCTTTTTTCGGCGGATTTTGCGCGATTTTTCGATTTTTAATGCAGCCCGACGGTGACATCGCTGGAACTTTGCCCCGAAAGTCGCGATATCCCGGCCGCACGGATCCGCTCCAAAAGTTATGTCACTTAGTGTGAATAGGCCCTTCTTAACTAGAGTTAACACTGAATCCTGTAATCCATAGATCACCTAGCACTCAGCCTGGAGTGCTTAGGACTTCTATCTTCCCTTTTCAGTTTTTCTATAGATTTTTCACATATGTTAAGAGGCAGGCAAACATTGCTAATATTACAGAAATAACTAAATGTTAATTGTACATATGCTTTGGTTATACTTCCTTCTCCCTGGTGCCACAGGTGCTGCCCCATAAGAGCCTTGTAGTAAATACAGTCTTGTCTTGCATAAAATGTATACATCATTGAGAAAATGATTTAAATTTCCAGGGAAAGCATGGAAAGCTTTGTCTATATTTACAACATAAATCATAATAATGAAAAAAAATAACAGAAGCCAGGCTTGAAGAACCCCTTCCAAGCAGATACTGTTTGTTCCCTTGAGTACTCCAGTTTGGCAATACACCAGACTGGCACAGAGAGTCCCATTTCTACAGAAAGCATAACCTCATTTTCTGCTCCAGGCACAGTGAAATAAAAGTCCTTGCCAAAAATGGCTTCTCTAGTGACTCAGCTATCCATGCCAAAATAAAAGAAAAAATGGTGTGATTGATTATCAGTTGAAAAGAAAACACATGCAATGTGCAATGTGAGCCAGATTCAATTGAATTATTCTGTTTAGACTTTAGAGTGCACAAATACCAACAAGTAAGATGTGAATAGCATTGCTTTATGCAATTTATTTCATTTATAAGGGCAGAATGCTATACAGGACCTCAGTGCTTAACAGACCACAGAGCCACTGACACCAGTTTGTATCCTGTAATGTATCTTCAACCGATACAAATTAAAGCCTAGAGAGTAGGGAAAAGTTACAATTTCTTTCAGGTTTTTATTGATGTCTGTCACTTCATTGTGTAGATTGTCCCTGTGATGCGTGTACAAGAAATGGGGAGCATGGGCATCACCAGGACAGGAAGGCATGGGCAGGAATATTGTCAAAAGTTTCAGAAATTGATGATTTACTTTACAGTAGGAAAAATCTAGAACATTAAACAGGTCCTGGTATATGAGGGTTCCTAGGCATTCCTGTGTCTACAGATTCATAGCTTGAGATATAAGGCAGTGCTGCCTCTCACTGCTAGTATGAGGAAATCTGATGTGAGATTTGGAGATGCTCAATGTTCTCCTTGCTGGAGGTTCTAACATGAGGAAGCAAAGCCCTGTTTCTACCAAGATGGCCACCTCCACACATAACAAAACAATCTGTTGGCTTAAGTTGGTCTTTAATGTTTTGGGGCAGAAGCCAGTTGAAGGTGTTTTCGGTTTCTGTAGGTTTATCCCAGCATGTTGTATTCTGTTATATCATTAACATTGTAATAGGAATACATACTATATCTGGTTTTCATAATGCAATCTTAGCTTGCTTGAAAACAAAATCCCTTTTATGTAGTGAAAGCTGCCTTCCATCTGCCCATCACTTTCAAGGACTTCCTCAATTTCCTGCTGCTTGATGTGATGCAATCTTGATTTTTCGAGATTACATACCCCATCATGCACTGCTTCCAGCAAGCAATAATAATGTTGCATTGTACAGATGTTGAGTTGTAGTTCAGGTGGCAGGCTTATATAAGGAAGGTGCATTTTCACATGGGCGAGTGAAACTGTGTCAGTGCATTGAGGAAGTACATCCTACGGGCATCTTCAATAAGCATGTTTACAAACTGGTAGGATACGGTTATTAGGAGTGCGATAGAACATATGGAAATTCAATATAGAACTATATATTTATTTTTAGTTTTTGGCCATAGATACCCTTTAACTTTGGGTATAATTTCTCCACTGGAGCCTCCTGTCTTCTCTACAAAGTTTGGGGGAGGGCCCTCCAGCTGTGATGCAAGGAGAGCTCCAAGGCTGGGTTCACACCTGAACTACACCACACAACACCTGGGACCCGTGTCCCGGGATCGTGCAGTCCTGTACAATGCAGGCAGTGATTGCCCCGCGGCCTCATTGATTTCACTGGGGTGACATCCGCGCGCCAATCGCAGAAAAAAAGTACATGCACCTTTTTTGCGATACACAATGTGCGGCCGTTTAGCCGCGATTGTGTTCGGAAGCGGCGGAAACCGTGCGATCCGCCCGGCGCGACTAGGGTGCCATTAGAAAATAATGGCACCCACAGAGCGATCGGTTCACACCTTGGTGACTCCTGACCGGAGGGAGGTGCTGCCTAGGTGTGAACCTAGCCTCAGCCAAACATCAAGAAGACTTTGTGATGACTGGCTAGAAGCTCTACCAATGTCTCATCTACAAGGACAACAGATACCTCCTTCTAAAAATGCATCACACAGAACTGTGTTCGAAATTGTCATAATCCAAAAAGGTGCAAGGATCTGTATATGCATATTAGCACCATGCCCCCGAGCAAGAAACCGAAATCGCAACAGTGGGCACCATGTTTTTAGTCACTGAGGAGGTGGAGAGATCACAAAGATCTTTCTGTGACTGGATCAGCAATACAGAGAGCAGCAGCACTTGCCACTTACATTCCTGACATAACAGCCACAGTCCTTACTGCCTGGGAGGGAGCATGCATTCAGAAAGCCAGGTGGGTGGTCACATGACTCCCTGCTTCATTACTTCACCCCTGCTGGAAGAGATGCCTCAGGATGTGTATGTATGTATGTGTATATACTGTATATATAATGTGTGTGTGTGTGTCAGTACTTTTGTGTGCACACCCTAATGCAATAGGCTTCACACGCCTATGGTTTGATGCCATGATGCGGCTACTGGCTTTTTTGTAATTATAGTCTGTTTCCTTCTTCACATTACTGCCCATGCTGTGATTATGTCTACATCCATATTTCTATAAATAATTCTATATTTCAGTGTACAGCACACCTGTAACATAACAGCTCCCCAGTTAAGCACCACTCACCGATACACCATCACTGCCCAGTGCTGCAGTTGTATATATTTGGCTTGCTACTGCAAAATCTATTTTTGCTTAATCTGGATTTATTTTTTTCTATGTAGAATGGTTTATTTAAATCACCTACGTGCTGTAAATTGAAACAAAAATATAACAGCTGGATGTTGTTTTGCTAGGATGCTGTACCGTTGGCCTATCCAGCAAAAGTTCCTTTATCCGTTTATTGTTCTCTACTGCCTGTTACGCCATTAGGAATATCCACAACCCACCCACTGAAAGTTATGCCCAGAGCAAAAAAAATAAAATAAGCGGAGGGCATGCATGACTAGGTGAATAGGGGAGACAAAGTGCACAAAGGGTTAACGGGGGTTCGGCTTCAGGACATAGGTCACTTACCTGATTGGGCAGGTCAAAAGGTTAGGTGGAGCTTAAAGGTGGCCATACACTTTACAACCATCGCAAGACCTTAGTCTTGCGATGGTTGTAAAGTACTTAAAAAAACGTACGATCTGCCCATCTTGGACAGGCAGATCGTACTTGCGATGACTGCAATGAGGGGCGGGCTTGCAAGGACGGCAAACGGGCAGTGTGCGCGTGCGCACACCAGCCCGTTCGTCAGTTGTCGAACAAGCAGGCCACTCACTCGCCGAGAATCGTACGATTCCCGGCGGTTTTTCCAGCCTGCTTGTTCGATGGAAGACGTGCGACCGTACAGTAGAAACGGTCGCACGCCTTCCATACACTGTACGATTCTCGTACGATCACGGGATTTCCTGCGATTCTCGTACGAGAATCGTACAGTGTATGGGCACCTTTAGTGGTGGTCTGAGTGGGAGGGGGTCCTCTCTTCATCAGTTGGTGACTGTCGTGCGAGGAGCTGAAATTATTTCGTACACGCCCGCTAAGGCCAATTAAAGCCATATTGTAGTGTGGTCTATTTATTACTTTCCAGGGACTGGGAAGTTGGGTGGTCTGTATATAAGGAAATGATTGAGGACATGAGGAGGGAGATGAACTGATGGTCTTGGTGGCGATGTTTTATGTGTATTGCCTGGAGACAGCAGTGTGGAGAGGGGAGAATGAAAGACAACTGCAGGATAGATATGCAAGTGTTTGTAGACCTGTGACCTGACATGAATAAACTCTGATAGGATGTGCCCTGAGGGTCAGCACAGGTTTTTATGAATGCACAACAGCTCCTACAATGGGAGAGGAGGATCCAGACAATATTGTGGGGATCACTTCTCAGCACAGAGCTTAGCCTCGCCCACAGTATATTACATTGAATTGTAGGCTTAGTACATTTGTGATTATAGGAGTACATTGCAGAATGCATCTCTGTAGCTTAGGGAAACGAAAAATGCAAAAAGGGTGTACCCCATAGTTCTCCCTTAACTGATGTGGAAATGACAATGAGGACATTTAGAGGAAGAACAAAAATAATGGAGGGGAAATCTCTGGATTGAAGCTGAATATTGCAGCAAAAGTTGGTTTTGTTATCTACAGTATCTTTCAACCCTTTCATTGCCGCTGACATATGTCATACATTAGCAGCAGCGGGGCCCTGTAAGCAGACTCCAGGCTGCTATTAGATCCATAATATCTCCTTAAAAAGGACCTGTCGTCACTAAAGTCCCCTATTTGATGGCAATAAAGTTAAATAAGGTTATAAAAGTAAAATAAAATAAATGTAAAAAAACACGTTCATTTCCCCTGCTCCCGCATACCTGCACCTACTAACACAAATATGCTTCGGGTTCACCTACGTACAAAAACAACAATAGCGTCATACATGTTGGGTATCACGTCACACGCTAGAGTGAGAGCAATAATTCCAGGGTCATTATTCACGATTAACTCTAAATTGATGACCTGTACAGGCTTTTACATCATTGGTTATTGACAATTTGGGGACCAAAGTTTTTCACCATTTCATGGGTGCAGGTGATTTTGAAGCTTGACAAATTTGTTATTTATTTATTCAGCACAACCTCATCTTTTATATGTTATCAATAAAATGGGTATTATATTGTATTTACATGCACTGAAATCAACTCAAGTGTTTTTTACTAAAACTCTGGGGTTGAGAAAAGGTAGCGCTAATATCTTGCAACATAAAAATGGATCTGGCAGTGAAAGGGTTAATAGGCTATTATTATTTTTATCTAGTTATTGATTAGCTCTGGTTCTGCTTTATAGCATATCCAAATCAATGAACAAAAATCTCATATTGTAGCTTACCAGTCCTTAGATTTGGTGGCTTCATTAGTTTGCATTTCCCCTGGTGATCCTGTCAGTGACACTTCCTGCCTTAGAGGGCCAGTGCTAATTTATTGTACTGTATCTGTGGCGGAATAGGGATGCCACCCTTCCAACAGGAAGCTTACTGTTAGGCTTTACAGAACTCCGGGCAAAACAAATCTTAACCTCTGCAGTGGGGCTACCCCCACAGTGACAGGGCTAAGTGCCCCTTTTGTCAAGTGAGTTAAACTCACCGGAACCACGATCCCGGCTGGCTGTTGGACCAGTCCCTTCAGCCTGTTTCCTCCTCCGCTCCAGCAGGCTAAAGTCCATATGAATGCACATAGCATTTTGCATGTCCACCTAGGGCAGCCCATTTATTTCAGTAGGATGCCCTGTACAGAACAAACAGCAAAGAAGCTCATGCAATTGTTTGAGCTTTGTGTGATTCTTGACCATGCATTTTGCACGTCTGTCGCGTGGTTTGCATATCTTACTTGCCACGTTTGGGGTGCCATTAACAATAAATGGCACCACAAGCACAACATAGGTTTGTCACGAAACCTCATGCAGTAAATAAGTGGAAGCATTTTCATTTTTAGGGCAATAGCTCTAGTTTCTGATACTCCCCTACCCTTTGCTTCACTGTTGTTCCTTTCACCTGCCTGAGGAAAGTGGAAAGGTCTTGTGTAAGCTCCGAATTCCTCAAGTTGAAGCTTACACGGTGATAACTCTATCCTCAACCTCATGTGATGGAGTTCGGGCCTGCAAACTGACCACTCAGACACACAACGCTGGATTGCGGGAGGAAGAGGAGCATGTCGACCTATGTATTTCCACGATCACACAGCAGGGCAAGTCACTCCCCTCCTCCAAGCCATTAGATGGACAGCTGCTGCAGACTGTGTTGTCCCTCGGGGATCTTGTACTGGAAAGGAAGTTCAGAGAAGCGGAGATGAGAGAGTTTGAGCTGTTTAGAAACATGATGACTGTAGTTGTTTGGGCAAAAATGTAAAGAAATGCTTTGCTGGGCAATGTTTATTTCTTTGATCTGGATTCATTATTAAAAAAAGATTGGGAGTTTATTACTACATTTGGAATGGTGAATGAAGTGATGCGTTATTAAATGGACCGGGAGTAAGCAACAAGAAGCCTAAAGTAAGTCTTGCACATTTTTTTTACCTCTTTATAGTCTTTTTATAGTCTTGATTTTTGGCTGATTTGTGCTTGTAAATGCGTTAAAATATTTTTTGTTTAGGCAAAGTTGCTGTTTTCTGCACTTCCTATGAGTGCTCTATGCTAACAGAGCCAAGTAACAGCTTCATCTCTCATTAGAAGTGACAGGCTTGCATTGGTGAGGAAGAGAAGATGTGTGCCAGACAAAGTTTGTTACTGAGTGTTGATTACTAAGTGCACTTGGTTTAGCTCCGGTGCCAATTAAACTGCATAGTCATATTCAAACATAACTGTAGGAAAGTGGAGACAAGATTATGGAATTGGAGTATGTTAGTATAAACGCAATCTGACTATATCTGTTTCTCTGACTGAATTTCACCTAAACTGAGCCTGATTTAAGCTTTGCCCTGCTTGGGTTCACTTTAAACTGCCCTCAAAGAAAATGGTTCCAGCACTCAGCCTTCCTTGTCAGCACATGGGACCTAATTAAAATCTGCTTCTAAAGGTGGCCATACACTTTACAACCCTCGCAAGACAAAAGCGAGGGTTGTAAAGTAATTTAAAAAAACGTACGATCTGCCCATCTTGGACCGACAGATCGCACATGCGATCATCGCAAGCCCCCCCCCCCCCACTGGGGGGTGCACTTTCGATGACTGCAATGCTGTAAAGGGCAGAGTGCGCACACCGGCCCGTTCGGCAGTTGTCGAACAGGCAGGCCACTATCGTACGATTCTCGGCGGGTTTTCCAGCCTGCTTGTTCGACGGAAGACGTGCGACCGTAAAGTAGAAACGGTCGCATGCCTTCCATACACTTTACGATTATCGTACGATCGCAGGATTTCCCGCGATTATCTTACGATAATCGTACAGTGTGTGTGCACCTTTACACTATTAGAAAAAGAGAGTCTTCAGTTGAATATGTTATCCAAATGTGTGAAAGCCACATGCCGCTTGCAGAGTGCCAAGTTACCAAGACCCGGGACAGCCAAGGCACCAAACACAACAAAGACAGAAAATGGCAAACAGCTCATCAGTGTGTAACTAGGACAGGGAGATGCACATGGGATGAGCAATTCACTTCGAGAAAAACAGAGTCTCAATGTTCTCTTGTTTATTCTGTAAATCGAAAGTAAACAGTTGTGGGAGTGGGACTCCTTCAATACAGCTGCTGCATGCAGGCAGACCTAAGAAAAAGCCAATGAGTCATTCAGATTTCTATATTCTAGAACAGAAATATTCCTTTTGGTTAGACTAACCCTTACACCCCATTCACACTGAGCGACATGGATTTTGCAGGTTTTCCGGCGAATTCGCGCCGAGCGGCTTTGAGCTACATTGCGTGATATTGAGCGACATTGCACATTTTATCGCGCTACATGGCGCGTTTTTTGGGCGGGACTTTGTCGCTGGTACATTGGGCTGTAACCAATCAACGGCGATCTTGATGTGACATCATTCTTTCCTTCCATTTTGCAGTGCAACAGTGACCCTTCTGTAGCGCAATATAAAGGAGCTGGCTACGGCTATGCTCCCTCGGTGCTCGTGCGGCTGCCGGCTGAATGTGCTTCCCCTCTCAGTGGGCCGCTCACCTTATAAATAGACCTGAATAGGTCTAGAATCACTTTAATGGGTCTCCAATCGATCTTATTCAAAGGCCATCTTTCCACAATCGTTGCACAGAAAATGACGTCAGCGTGTCATCACGACCATATCCAATAAAATATAAAAACAGCCCATAGCGTAAAACTGCAAAATTAAAAAACCTCCTTTATTTAAAAAACTACTCACATGAGAAAAGTAGACATAAAACTTCAAATAAAATGCATGCCCATCAACTCTCTCTCCGTGTCACCGTGTTCTCTGGTTGCAAAGACAGATCAAACAGGAGCTGTGCTGCCGACCATGCTATCTCCAATCCACGTCTGCGAGACTCCGCCCTACACGTTACCTCACAATTGACTTAATCTGGGGCTTGCAAGCAAGCATGGTCGGCAAGCAAGCCCCAGATGATCAATTGAAAAAAAAGAAAAGCACAACCAGTGTGTAGCATTACAAATCAGGAAGTCTGCATATGTGAAGAGCAATATATGGCCATTTACATATACAGTTACAAACTATACACAAAATTATCTTTACTATGTATACTGTGTGGGTATAGCAGGCAGGTTTCCTCTCTACCAGGTGGTGAACTTATCTAAGTCACCTCACAAAACAAAAGTACTATCAGCAACCTTTTACTTACAAACATCCACCTTTTCGCACTCTCACAATGCTGTCTAAAGGTGCCCATACACTGCTCGATTCTCGTACGAGAATCGCGGGAAATCCCGCGATCGTACGAGAATCGAGCAGTGTGAACAAAGACGTCTTTTGTCTAAGGAGCACGCTAGAAAACCACCAGAAAATCGTACGATTTTCGGGTGTTTTGAACGGTGCTCGGGAGACAAATGCCGAACGGGCCCGTGTGCGCACGCTCGCACTGCCCGTTCAGCATTGCGGTCATCGGAAGCCCGCCCCTCAGGGGGGCGGGCTTGCGATGATCGAGAGTACGATCTGCCTGTCCAAGATGGGCAGATCGTACGTTTTTTTAATCAATTTACAACCATTGCAAGACTAAGGTCTTGCCATGGTTGTACAGTGTATGGCCACCTTTAAGGTCCCAGGCCAGAGCAACATCATGCTTCAGCCTTCCCCTTTTATCTCACCTGGATATTATTAAGCAATTAACAATCCAGGTGA